GTGTGCATATACCTAAGCAAGTAATATAAGAAAGACAGGGAAGGCCATCAACCCCATGTATGTCATAGTAAATCGGATCATAGCTTAGGTAAGCGGGATCCGGCCATGGAACCGTCGAAACCGTCGAGTCCGGCACACGATGACAAGGATACAGAGACAAGAACCCTGACATCACTAGACACCTGACCTACCATCTGAATGCATCCGACCATGTCTAAATACCTTCTCACTGTCCACAACCACCGCCGTTCCTCTTACACGGTCTAGCTCATATGTCGATCCGAACGTCTATACCGTCAGACTCGACACCGTCCTTTGTCAGAAAAAGACACTGGGCCAGCTCTGCTTTCCCGTCAACCAAAGACAGCGAAGAAAGTACGACACTCTTCAGGGCCGAGACCTTGGGATATCGCACACACAGACAGCCCGGCCTGCGCTTTTTTTATCACAGTCAAGGCGCCGTAGTCGGAGACGACTGTGCTTACCTAGAAGTCCCTCTACATAAATAATCTATACGATGCCTCGACGTTGCGCTCTGCTGTGGTCAAAAGGATTTTCCAACGGGGTTGCGCTTGACGCATTGGGCTGACGGTTCCTCCCGCCCCCCTCATATACGTACATGGGTCTACAGCCTCTACAGAGCCATGCGAGAGGTACATGATACATTCTACATCTTACATCTGGTCCCATTCCATGTGATGAGAGAATACAGAAGGGGGGAGAAGATGAGACAGGGAGAAGAGCAAAAGTACCGAATCGGTTCGTCATAAAATGGACCATGGTAACTGGTAACTGCTAATATCAATAGTATCTGACGAATTCTAGATCTAATATTCCCTACCGCTCATTTCTTCCACCCCCTCGCTTTGCCCAACAAGACATTATGCCGTTAACGCTGCCCGCCCATACAGCAGTAAGTTCACTGCTATCAATACTACTAAAAGTATCAGTAATATTATCCCACTCCAATCTCGACTTTCTGCCCCCCCCGTAACAATGCCGCTTTTATAGATGCCTACTCAGGCGCTACTTAGGCACTGCTTAGGGTCAGCTCACGATAGCATTAGGAAGAGGCCCGATCTGCTTAGGGGCCACTTGTTACGGCCCGTTATGCGACCTTCACGTGCACCCCACATTTTCTTTTCCTTACTCATTACCACTACGCCCACTTACACACGATCGCTCAGTTCTAAGCAATGATCATTGCGATCGCTCCTAGGATCGCAGCGACCACTAGAACGATCGTTATGATCGCCTCACAAATCCTAGCGATCGCCTAGTATATAGTCAACCTCATTTCCATAGCCTAGTCACTCTTTACCTAGCTATCAATACAATAGTCAACGCTTCTTTTAGAACCCTAGTTCCTTCCACAATTAGCACCTACGACTGTGACTGCCTTATTGCTCAGTTAGACGCCCTGACAGCCTCGCCAACATAAAACCGACACTTCTCTGACTACCCTGTAGCACAGAGTCGTACCAACCGTCACACATAGAGGGTCTGGATGCTTTTAGACTTACGAGCCTGGGTCATTGTATTGCGTCATGATATATAAAAACTGTTAGTATTGCAGGTGGCCAGAAGGGCTTCGCCCAATGTACCCATTGGCTTTCTCTAACAGGGTTGAAGGGGGCGGCTGACATCATTGCCACGCGGGAAAGGAAGTTTCCAAGATGGTAAAGCCAACTATAGATGCCGATGATGATGATATCTCAATGCATAGTTGCAACAGTGTCTATTTGTTCAAGGACCTTGGAGCCTCACAAAAGCAGTGGTAGATCGCAATGGTAAATAACATGACGCGATTAAACAGAATCTTCCTCGCTAAACACCACCCCCACCCCCCGCCTACAGAAAAAGGACACAAGGAAAGCACAAGCCGCCGTGGCGTATATATCAGCAGCAATCACTCACTTCTCTCACGGCGTTTGCTACTTTCTGTCTCTGTCTCCTCTGTTCCAAGCCCGCCCCGTTGGCTCATGTGAAGCCACATCCATACCGAGATGAGTATGGAGACTGCCGCCAGTATACACGTCTGCGTTGCCACCAACGCGCCTCTCCAACGAGCGTTCTTCTCACAATACCAGCACACCATCCCAATCAAAAATTCCACAATGGACACATCTAGCACCACCAACGGTGTCCAAGCTACTGCCAGGTTGAATCGGCTTGCTCTCTCAGAACCCTCAAACAGGAATAGGAGCATCGTTGCTACAACAGCTGCCAAGACAGCCGTAACGGAGGAGGTGCAAAGGAATCCTTCGCTGACTTTGGTTAAGCCGTGGCTCGGATGGAACTCATCAAACGTCAGCGCGCCAATTGCTAGCCCGCTGATAAGAGCAGCCAGGACAGTGAATGTTTTGTAAAATCTCTGTAGGCGCTGAAAGACCAAGAAAGCTCTAGTGTCGAGAAGTTTGTTCCACCAAAGCCATGTCATCATCGATTGCCGTTTTGCGGCGTGTTTGCTTTGAGGAGGCATGGTAGACCGCCAGTAGGGCAAAGTCAACCTGCCGCCACAGGATTGGAAAATTGGCAGATTGAGGCGGAGATATAGGATATTGACGAAAGATTGACGTGAAGAAGTGGCGGGGATCCCAGCTAGGCTTTTATACTGCAGGACGAAGCAATATAAAATGCTGGAAAGGCCTGCGCATTTCAGTGTGAGTCGTTGCCCGTCGTGGTAAACTTATGTCAGAATGTCTTCAATGCAAGAACGGAAGTTCGCTGTTTTGGTGGAAGAATGCCTCAGGCGGATGAGGGAGCACGTGACTGCCGACGCGGGGCAACATGTCAGGGAATTCCTCAACAAGGAGTCTGATCATGTGATTGCATCAAGGATTGTGGACGCCACTAGCCCGGCTGTTAGTCGATTACTAACGACGAATGACCAGGACATGTCTGCCAGGTAATGACGTGACCGTCCTTTCGAACATAGGTGTCAGCCGGCTAAACTTCACTAGGATCATTCATCTCGCAGGTCCTATTGACGACAAAAACCAGGGCGTGTTCGCGGACATTTTGATGCGCGCTTCAGATAAGTCAGCAACCAGAATCTTCGTGGGCGCAGCTGTTGGGCCATATCGCACGCGACGGGGAGGCATCCGAGATCGCATTACAGACCTCCAAGCGGAAATGAGACGCCAGTCACAGTCGACCATTCCGCATTTTCAATTGCTTCGATCGGCGGACTGGTGTGCCCACTGGGCTGTTTTGGCCAGCTTCAAGAAGAGTGTCGAGAAAGAGATGGTTCTCATCGCGCAAGCCATCATGATGATACTTCTTGGATCATACCCAAATCATGCGTATTTGGCCTGCCGGCCCGAGATTTTATGCCCTCTTCCTTTGGACTGGGGTCTCAACGAGACTAATCCATTACGCATTGATGGATTGGCAAGCTACTATAAAAACTTGACTTCAATCAACACGGGGGAGGCAACAACTCTCCGCAAGAAGATTTTGGCAGGCAGCAGAGCTCTTTCTTCAACTGCGGCACGCCGACGACGTGACCGGCTACAGAATGGCGGAGCTATCCGCGTTTATGTTCTGGAGAGTGGCGGTCGTGTTACACGTTTCCATGTGACTCTGATGACAGCTACGGACGGGGCCCATGTCGATATTGTTATACCTTTATTAACGGGTCTTGAATACGGCCTCCAGATATCCCGCACAGTCGACATCAAAGCTGAAGTGAGTACCAGAAACCACAGCACACCATTTGCGGCGAAGTCACCCTACAACAGTGAAGCACGACGCCTAGGTATAATGATGTCTGGAACCCGTACTCTCGGGCCCCAACGAGGCGCAAAATTCACGCATTGGCTTCGGTCGCCTAAGAAGGCGGCTGTTAGAAAAGCCGAAAAGCTCATGCAATTCTTGGGAAATCGCCTCGAATATCCTGACGAATGCTCAGAAGAGCCACGCGAATTCTCAAAGTTTGTTGTTTGGTCCGAAAAAGCCTTCTTGAATGCCCCGGGACCATCGGATAGAGTTGTGGAACCAAGATCCGCGCGATTCGCATCCCAACCTCCCTGTGCCACCTCTTGTGGTCAAGGCAATGAGGATGGCTTGTACGAAATGATACTTCGGCTTACCAAATCTCTGCAACAACTATCGCTATCCTGGAGTGTCCGGGCGTCGCCAAGTGTTCGCTCGTATTTCGCAGCAAATGCCTCCGAATCCATCGCAACTGACATAACCCGAGCTGTTCGGCCTCCGGTTCAAGATTTTCTCTTGTCACCAAGACAATTCACCTCAGTCAGGTAGATCGCTGGTTCTGTCTTCGTTGAGGCGTTCTACTGAATCTCATAGGCTTCTATCACTAGGCGGAGATATTCGTGACTCAAACCAAGGCGTATACGCAGATATTGTGACATACGATGACGGCGAAGAGTTCAAGATCTACGTTGGTGCAGCGGGATCCACTGGGAAAGGCAGTAGCACGGGTCTGCGACGAAGGATCCGAGAACATTTACGCTTCGCAGAGTTGAAGTCAGGGCATGCCCAGAGTGGAGTACTGCACTACAATGAGATAAGGCGACATGGCGCCCACACGAATTTTGTGGTTCTGGTCCGTTTTGCAGAATCTGTGCAGGCCCCGCTTGTCCACATTGCGGAGGCTCTCATGTCAATTCTCTTTGCATCATGGGACAACAAGGTTTTCAACAGGTTGCGGCCCAGTCACTTGGCTGGGTGCCCGATTTCCTGGGGACTAAATAAAGCGAACCCTTTGGATTTTGCCATCGTCCCCACCGACAGCTATGCTGACCTTCAGGAACGGCGCCGTCAATGCGGCCTTGAAAGGGCAAGGAGAAATCAAATCAGGAGGATCGAAAATGCACGAACAGGGTGCTATGTCCAGTTGTGTGTGGATCGGAGACGGAACGACTTTCGTTTTTATTTGTGCAGGGAAACGATTCTTATACCCACCACTGTAGGGAGAGCCTTGGGGCTAAAGTCCAGAATGAAGATTAGGGTTGATTGCGACGTTCAGGCAGCACAACATCCATCTGCCTATGCGCAGAGGGCGCCGTGGACGTCCAACTCAAGAAGACTCGGTATATGCATCACTGGTACATATAGCCATGGATCGTGTAAGGGACAGGAGTTTAAAAAGTGGATTGAATGCGGTTCGGAAGCGGCTGTCACGCGGGCTGAAAGAATTATCTTAGCTGTGGATAACTAAACAGTCCATCTGATAGGTAGCTCTTCTGACTATAGAATATGTCTAAACTCTTGGGTCTATCCCGGACGCTTGTCTTGAAGGTGCGATACTCCCGAATTTTTCGTAAAATCCGGTCCGAAGCTCTGGCAGTCTAGGAATCAAAAATCACCTGTGGGCGTGTTCGTACATTCGCCGCAGGGTGGTAGTCAACATTTTTGTGATGTTATGAGGACTACTTAGGCTTCAAATCGGGTCAAGAGTAATACAGTAAGCGTGAGAGCGAGATGATGCCGAAAGGACGGGAGGCTGAAGTGGCGGCAAGTGAATCAAGTCAACAACCGTCAGTCGCGTGGACCATTACGCCGAACCTTTGGTGATTGCTCCTTCGTCAATATCGTAACCACATAGTTGACGTGAGTGTAAATGATATCAAATACTGCCGTCACGTAGACTCTTTTTGTATACAAGACTCAAACAAGGCGCCTATTACATTGCTTTTCTTCGGTCCTAGATACTGTCGGTCAAGTCGCGTTACATTTTGATATGAAGTTTTATTGGTGATGGTGAGCCTTTCGATCCTGAACCTCCTGTCTTGAGTCCGATAATCGGCTTGAGACGTATTCTATGCTGATTGCACGCGTGGGCACGGAAAACAATGTCGTCATCCAAACTCAGTGCCTTGCTCTCGAAAAATTTCACGGGACAAGGAATTGGACGACCTCGTAGCATACAAAGATGGCGCCGTTTGGTCCCCTTTAACATGGTTGAATGGGGCGGCTGGCATCGCAGGGAAGAAGATTACGAGATGGATACTAGCGATGGTGAGTAGTTTGAGGAATGATGAAAGAGAGCAAAGCAGAAAAGGCCGGGGTTTTGGGAACATGGTCTGCTTTGAACAATGAACGGACGTCCATGATTGGGCTTACAGAGGGATCCAAAAACTGCCTCGTCGTCTAGTTCATGCCGCCGGGACGACAGGGTGTTGCTATTGGTCCTTAGGCCAAAAAGGTCTACTTGCCATGGCCAGAAGTCGACAAATGACAAAAAGGCAAAACGGCAAGCAATGTGTTATTTGTCGACCCAGCTCCGTGACCAGGGGTTGTTCACTGTTTCCGCCAACCACACAATCTTCACTGCCTAAAACCGGATTACCAAACACTCTCTTCACATCGGCTATGAATACGAAATTCAAATTTCTCTTGGACCAGCAAAAACAGGCACCTGCGCCAAACGGCCACGATACCCGCCCACCCCTTCTGCCCACGCCTTGGTTAGACTTGGACCAAACGTCGCTCTATTTTTTGTAAGGACGGTGCTGATGAGACAGAAAACCCCTTAGTTGCTCCATACACGACCTTGCTTCCTCTCTCCCTGGAAAACCATCCGGCTTGTAGTGGAACGGGTACTGTGCTACATCCCACAGGGCTGGTCAAGGCAACTGTGAACAGTCTGCAAACTACGACAGAAGTGAGAAGTCTATGCCGAGACCCCACACATGTACGTAGGTGGTAATATATGTCATTCAATTCAGGTACGTACCCAGCTATGATACACAACCCCTTCATTTCCCTCCAATACGAGCTTATTGCAAGCGTCGAGCACGTGGCTGTTTTAGTATGATCGTGATTGGGGACCCTGAGGCCTTGGTTCCTGTGTCCCCTGTCCCAAGCCGGATCACTGGCTTGAGACGTACATGGTGCTCGTGATATGCGTGAGCGCGAAAACATATCGTCGTCTACAACCACTGCCCTCTGTTTGTCTCTCTCCGCCGGGAAGGGAACGGGGCGACTACGCAACAAGCGGAAGTGGCGTTGTTCAACATGCATGGTCGTCAATTGGGCAAGCGCATTTCCTCAAAATATACAAGGGTCCGGACGTCGCCACCCCTTGGTTGCAGCGTTCAGAAGGCAGAAAGGTTGTTGGCCGTCTAGCTTAAAAGGAATAGTTTCCAATGAAACAGTCGGCTAGACGGCCAGCGGACAGCAAAGTGCAGGGACTTGGCTGGGGGAGAGATAATCGGGTTGGGCGTTGGCCAGCGGAATGTTTGATGGGTGTCGTGAATGGCGCGTTTGACTTGCCCGGCGAGAGTGGCGGTGTCGTTAGTGACGACTTCAGAGCCATCTGATCTGGCCGAGCCTCTTTGATTTCGGCTTTCCCAGTAAGGTTCATCTAAGCATTGATCCGCGAGTAGCGGCATGTCCGGATGACAGCCAAGCAACTGCTTGTCGAGCTCACTTTCGTTTTTCGGATCGAAGTAGTAATGACGGGCGTTCTCTGCCACCATGCGTCCGTATCTTTAGGCGGCAGTTCTCCGCCGTTCAAGCAAGTCGTCGTAGGCCGCTGTGGCCAAGCCTGTTGCCTGGTCAATATGGCTCTCTAGGTTGCTCAGCACTGTTTATATCGTAGCCTAGCGCACGTAAACGAGCATGCGAGCCAATAAGTTCTATCATCTCATTGAAGACCTACTACATAGACGCACCCTTGCCGATCTAGATGTTATGTTAAGCTTGTTGAATAGAGAAAGATACGACGATCTGCTGCTGCGGCCGAGAAAGGCGTCTTGGGTCATGAAATTGGCCTAAGCGTTGTTGTAAAAAGCTTGGAATGTTCTAGGGTCCTTTTCGTTGGCTGACCGAAAAGCATCGTATTAGGCCGGCAGAGATTCCTCGCGTGCAACGTTACCTAGTGAATTATCGTTGTTAGATATGACCTCTGCATCTCACGCTTGTACCATCCATGACTCCAGGACGTCTGAGAATGCTCACGCAGGGCCTTGCCGGTCATCTCTGTGAGCATCCCGGTCGACTCGTAGCTCGTCCGAGGCGGCCAGCAAGCTCACGTCCGACAGAGTCCCCTCTGTCCAAAAATAATTGTAGGCCACGAGGTATGAGACCTCACGTTCCAAGTGTTGGTTGAGATGATACATGGTGTCCTCCGCAAACAGGTGCTAACGATGTTAAAAAGGCAGGACGGCAATTCCGTCGGGCTCAAGATATAAGCAAACGAGATAGAAATCGCCTGGGAGAGGCTATCGGCCTTTCAGAACGCATTTAGGTTACGCATACTTGCTCTGTTTGTTGCCTCGTGATCATATTGATCATCCTCTGAAAGGTGGCAGGAGCATTGGTAAGTCCAAAGGGCATTACCAAATACTCGAATAGTCCAAACTTGGTGCGGAAAGCGGTTTTCCATTCGTCTCCTTTTTTGATTCGGATGAGATTGTACGCTCCTTTAAGGTCAAGAGCCGTGAAGAACCTCTTGCCGTGGAGTCGGTCTCTAAGTTCCGTAATGAGTGGGAGTGGTGTTCGATCTTTGATCGTGATGTCGTTAAGTTGTCGGTAATCCACAACTAGTCGAAAGTTTCCCATTCTTCTTTGGAACAAACATAACAGGGTATCCTGCTTCCGATTTGGATGTTCGAATGTAGCCTTGCGCAGCATGTCGTTGACATATTCCCGCAATGTTTCAAGTTGCTTTTCGTTGAGGTTGTAAAGTTTGTGGAACCTGGTCGTAGTTCCGTTTTTAAGGCAAATTTCGTGGTCCCATTGTGTGTGTAGCGGTAATCCGGTTTCGAGTTCTTCCTGGAATAATTGCTGTTATATTACCTGTAAGCTGTAGGCTGTATTGCATGTAGCAGATGTGCCCCTCCCCCCCGCCGAGGCCGACTCTGACTCTTGGTTTTTTTACCCCTCCAAAATTGGGAAACCGTCCTCCGCCGTTCTTCCT